TCTTTTGTATTGCATGTTTTCTTTTTTGATTCAGTTTTCCCTTTGGTGGAATACACTTTTCAATAATAATTTAAGAGATGATCAACCATTTGAATCCTTATGTATATGAAAATATGTCATTATTTTGTATTCTCTCTGAAATGATAGTTTAGTTGGGTAGAGAATTTTGAGTTAAAAACAATTCCCTTAGAATACTTTGTTCCATTTTCTACTAGCATCCATTGTTGCTGATGAAAAGTAGGTGATCTGGTGAGAATTTCCTTTGTATCCTTGATGCTCTGAAATTCCTTCATGATGTGTTCAGGTGTGATGCTTTTTACTTATACACTAAACAAGAGCTTTTAACCTGAAGATATGGGAACAGTTTGTCTCATGTCTTTGAGTATTTCCTTCCATCCATTCTCTAGCTCTCTTGTTAGAGAAATGTTGAAATTTCTGGATTTATTCTCCATATTACTTAAATGTTTGCTCATTGCTTTATCCTTTCTCCTGCAATCTAGGAGAAAACTGAGCCCAATCTTCTAGCTTACTAATTTACCCTTCAGTTCAGCCTAAGTCAGTATAGCATGGCGAATAAGAGCCTGAGTTCAAATTCGGGTTCAACCATTTATTACTGTGCTGCCTTCAGTAAGTTAATTAACCTTTCTGTTTTTCGGTTTACTCGTCTGTAAAATGAATATTCTAATAATATTGCCTATTTTGTAAGATTATAAAGATTAAATATGTTAATACATGAATGCTTATAAGAGTATCTGCAGCACAGTATTAGTTATTACTGTCCAACTCATTAAAGAATTTCAATAAATAAATTCTTAATTAGTCCTCTAACTAGTTTGTTTTCATAATAATCTGGTTGTTTTATGAATGTAAGATTCTGTATTATACATCTGAGGGTAAAAAATATATATATAATAAAATCTATTTTTGCTCCATTAAAAATAACTTGGAGCTTTCAATTTGTTTATTGACTGAAATCAGTTTCTGTCTTGGACTTCCCTGGTGGCACAGTGGTTAAGAATCTGCCTGCCAATGCAGGGAACACAGGTTCAATCCCTGGTCCAGGAAGATCCCACATGTCATGGACCAACTAAGCCTGTGCACCACAACTACTGAGCCCACGTGCCATAACTACTGAAGCCCACGAGCCTACAGCCCATGCTTCACAACAAGAGAAGCCACCACAATGAGAAGCTCACGCACCCCAACGAAGAGCAGCCCTTGCTCGCCACAACTAGAGAAAGCCTGTGTGCAGCAATGAAGATCCAACACAGCCAAAAATAAATAAATTAAAAAAAAAAAAAGAGGGCTTCCCTGGTGGCACAGTGGTTGAGAGTCCATCTGCCGATGCAGGGGACACGGGTTCGTGCCCTGGTCCAGGAGGATCCCACATGCCGCGGAGCGGCTGGGCCCGTGAGCCATGGCTGCTGAGCCTGCGCGTCTGGAGCCTGTGCTCCGCGGCAGGAGAGGTCACAACAGTGAGAGGCCCGCGTACCGCAAAAAAGAAAGAAAGAAAGAAAGAAGTGCCTGTCTTTCATAGTAATAGATTTCCACGAATGATTGGTGATTGGTATACTCAGTGTTTGGAAATCTCACTTGCCTATCTGTGGTACCACTTCTAAGTCTGAGCGCTTGCTTTGCTGATTGCAGTAGGAAGAGGGGCAGGACAGGGCATGGTGGAGGTCGGGCGATGTAAGTATGTATAGTTTACCTTCAGCATGTGTGTGTGTGTGGTCTCCTTTCTCCTGGAAATTGGTGGTAGTCCCTTGGGGTGATACCTTGTTTCCTTGGCCCAAGCACCCATTAGTAACAATCCAGACTGAATGATTCCAAACATTTAGCAATATTTGCTTAAGATCTCTTTTTTAAAATAAATTTATTTTATTTTTGGCTGTGTTGGGTCTTTTTTGCTGCGCGTGGGCTTTCTCTAGTTGTGGCGAGCAGGGGCTACTCTTCTTTGTGGTGCACGGGCTTCTCATTGCGGTGACTGCTCTTGTTGCGGAGCACAGGCTCTAGGCCCACGGGCTTCAGTAGTTGTGGCATGCAGATTTAATAGTTGTGGCTCACGGGCTCTAGAGCGCAGGCTCAGTAGTTGTGGTACACGGGCTTAGTTGCTCCGCGGCATGTGGGATCTTCCCGGACCAGGGCTCGAACCCGTGTCCCCTGCATTGGCAGGTGTATTCTTAACCACTGCGCCACCAGGGAGGCCCTAAGATCTTTAAAAAAAAATTAAATTAGATACCATTGTTGGAGCCTCCTTTGTGCTTTCCCATCCTCTTTCTCTTCTTCCCTTCTCACTGCCCCGAAGTTCATGCTTCTGTATCCTTCCTATGTCCATGCTTTTTATAGTTACCTACATATTTAGACAGACATAAACAGCGTATCATATTGTTTTGCAGGCTTTCAAACTGCACATAAATGATAACAATTCTTTCAACCCTTCAGATTACACCAGGAAGAAAATCTCATTTTGGTCGAGTTTTGAATGCCTTTTCTGGCATTTGCTAATCTCTCTTTTAACAAATTAAAAACTCAGGATAGGTAGTTACTTAGAATTTAACAATATTGTTTTATTTTCCATTGTATTTATTGTAATGATTTCCTTCTATTTTTTAGCAGGTGTTGCTAGCTTTCCATCCACAGTAGTGACTTACGTTTCCTTTTAAGTTAAATATGAGAAAAAAAGAAAAGTGTTGATTTAAAGAAAAATGTTAAGTAAATAACAACTGTCCAGGAGGTTTACAGATATGGCAAAACATTAGGAGTTTTTACAGAAATGGCTGAAATTTGATATACACTCGACCTAAAAAATAAAGTTCAAGTTCCTTAAATGGGTATGCAAAGCTCTACCTGATCTGACCTCTGCTTTCCTCCTCAGCCCAGTCAGCACAATTACTTCACCTCCAGCACAAACTGCCTGGAGTTTCCTCCTTCCCTTACCAGCTGGAGGGACCTTGGCTATTGTAATCTCTCCTTTTATGGTATTTCCTGCAACCAGCATCCCTGCCTCCACCTGACTCTCTTATCATCCTCTCAGGCTCCTAGGAAGCCCTCCCCCACTTAGTACACGGCGCTGTACCGAATATACGGTTTTCTAATCGGATTCTAAACCCAAGGGTAGAATTTAGTGCCAGTACCATGACACCCTTATGTCCTAAACAGCTGATTGACACTAAAAGAAATGACCTATTTGTGATGTTTCATATAAAATTGGGGGTATAAAATGAAGGTTCCCCTTGAAAAAAATGTTTACCTCATTTTTCATATGTTTGGAGTTTTAAAAATAGTTCTGTTCATAGATATCAATACCTGATCTTAATTATTTTCTTTCAATACTGAGACAATACATTAACTTGTCATCTAGATTAAGGGTAAAAAAGGCACAGAGAAAGGAAAAATAAGGACGATGAGAAATGATAGGTTTTTATGTCATTTCGACATTACTTGGTGGCTTAGTTACTACCTCGAGCTGGATGATTTTATTAGTAAATGTGAGATCAAATCAAATGTTTTGAATATGACACATTTAAACGTTTGACGTTTTAATGGCAAAAGCTCCTAAACTGTTATGGCCACTGAGATGTTGGAACAATTTTCAAGTTTCATGATGCACGATGCGTATAAATAAATAGAATATTATTAACAAAAACAGCAGACCGCATACCGAATGCCGTTTGAAAGTCCCCTAACGTCTGCAGTCCTGAAGAACTAACTACATTGGGTTCTGTTCATTCATTCAAAAGCATTGTTCTGAAGCTGATATTCATACCACACGACTAAAAAACCCTCAGGACACTTGACCAGAAGAAAATTCTCATCCTAACAGAGGTGCAGATAATGCTTTCGAAGCTACTGCTGTATTGGGAGAAAAGTTCAATTTTAGCGTTTCATCCTATGTATTTCGCGTGGCCAAGGCCGGACAGGAAGGGCTGTGCGAGGAGGTTGGGGGAAGTGACTCGACACTCCAGATTACAGAATGTCAGGTTTACCACTGTAAACGTACAGCCTATAAATGAGAATACGGGTGGAGTGAAATCGCTCTCACGCCGTACATCTTCTGGGTTACATCTTATCCGCCAGCCAAACTTTCTCTATCAATCTGGGTAGGTCAGCAGCAGAAACACAGCCGGAAAGGACGATGCAGTGTCCTGAGGCGGCGTGTGCTGCCTTATCCAGTATTGCCTTCCGAATTACCTGAAGCATTCAAGCCATTGCACCCAGAGAACAATCCTCGTTTCAGTTCGGTCGTTTCCGTGGGGGAATTGCGGTACGGGTAGGTCCTGGGTGTGGCGAGGCCAAGAGGGAGCTCAGAGCTCCCAGCTTTCCCGCTTTTTGCAAACCTTCCCAGCCCGGAGGCGGCGAGTGACCGGCCCTCGATAACTGCCAGGCGGGGTCCCGGGGGCCGCAGGAGGACCCGACCCAGCGACAGCTGCAAATTGCCGAAGCGGGGGTCTGGGCGCCCGGCGCGAGTGCGCTTCTCCCCCATTCGTTCCGCGGCTGGAGGCGGACCCCCTTCCTTGCACACAAGTCCTTATATGCACCGGTTGCAGCAGCCCGCGCTACTCCAGCCCCACAAATAATTAATGGGGGAGGGAGGGCGTCGTTCTTTTTCTTTCGCCCTCCGGATTTTTTTTCAACGTTGGAGCATTTGAACCCTGCCGAGAACCCCTCAAAATGCGACTGAAGGGCCATTTTGCTGCAGCGCAAGAATTGGACACACAAAAATAAAGTCCCCTTGTCCCTACGATAAGCACGGCAGGGTTCAGGAAAGCTCTTTAGATCCAGCCCGATTAGCCCGCAAAACCTGGGCTGAAAGAGTGCGCGCCCCTCCCCCATCCACGTTGGTGCAGAGGGACCGGGTCAGGAAGCGCGGCCTCTCCCCAGTAGGAGACCACGCCTCCTCCGCCTCTTCCCCCCCGCCCCCTTTACTCCTCCCAGGAAGCGGTGATAGACAGTTCTGTGTGGTTCTCCACCCCCACCCCCCCAGCTGAGTGGAGGAGTTGATGTGTCTCATTATAACAGCCAATGCAGCCGCCATCCACGCACAAGCAAAGAAGCATGTCCCATTTAAATACACCCACGCAGCCCCAGCGCCCTTAGCTGCTCAGGGCGCACAGCCCACACGCACCGCGACTCCGGGCTTGGAGATCCGCGCAGGCTGGGTTCCCGGAGCCGGCGGACTGACGCGCGGAGGATCGCGATCAGGCGCTGTGGGGCCGGGGTGGGCGGGGGAGGCTGGGCCCCGGGCCTCTGGCGCGACACCCGCATGAGGACGCGAGTGAAATAGACCGAGGTGGAATTTTCAACGCGGAATCTTCGGGGTGGTTTTGGTCCATTTCTCCCGCGAAGAAGTCGACATGGCGAGCGACTCTCCGGCTCGCAGCCTGGATGAAATCGATCTCTCGGCTTTGAGGGTGAGTGGAACATGTTTTCTGATTTCTTTCCAGTGTTTTGGGTCAGGGTGAATGGGCTTGGTGCGTGGAACTGGGGCTCGGGCTGGTAGGCAGAGGCGGGCGAATGCGACGCGAGGGAACCTGGATTCTCGTTTAGATTCGGGGGTTGCTGAGGTGCTCTTGGCTAAGCACCCACAGCAGGGGCAGTGCGGTACGTGTCCTCCTTTGGTGGCAGCCAAAGCTCCCCTGAGAACTCGTGGAGCTTATGCCAGTTTCATCGTAGACCGGTGTAAGAGCACTAAAATGAAAGGCTCGTGTGTGTGTGTGCGTGCGTGTGTATGTACACAAGCTCCGGGCAGTCGTCTAGTGCCAAGGCTCTAGACCCCACTGTCCCTTTCTGCAAAAAGAATAACAACAGCGCGAATAAAGGCACTGGTCCCTCACGTTTTCCAGCTACCTGCTAGATGACATTGTGAGCCTGGCTGTCCCCGCGACGCCGAACCTGCCGCTCCAAGGGGGCAGTTATTGCTATGCTGGTCTTGTAGCTGGCAACTGCCTCCCCTTCCCCCCCCTTTTCTGCCGTCGGCGCCCCGACTCCCTCTCAGCGCTCTCTTAAACGCAGGTCTGCCGCTCACCTTTATTTATCGTTTTAACTCAGCCCTGCCTGTGCTTTCTGACTTTGTGGCTGTGACATTTCAGTTTTATGGCTGAACTTAAGCAGGTGAAAGGGATGTGTTCTCTGCTTTTCCCCAATCAGACCGGAACTCCTGGGAGTGTGAGTGTGTGTGTGTGTGTGTGTGTATTTTCTCTGTGTCTGTGGCTAGTCCTTTGTAAAGCACCTACCCCCACCCCGCTCCAGACCCCCTGGTTTGCATTTACCCTCACGTGAATTGCCTCAGACGCCGTTTCATTGTATTGACTAAGACATCACTGATATAGAATCCATTTTGCTGTTGTTTCGAGATCGGAATACCAGGAATCCTAGTGCAGCCTCGACGCCTCCCCACCCCCCAAGCCCAACACACTCCTTCGGGGAAGGGAGCAGAGCTTTCTTGAGATGTTAATTAGATGCTCCCTGCCTGGAAGGGGGGGAGGGGTGTGGGTGGCAGCAGCAGCGGGGGTCTGAGAAGGATGGGCTACCAATCTTAGCACGGCTTTTTCCTCTCTTGAACTAAAAATAAATTTTTTTTAAAAAAGCGATTGTATATACATGAGGCAGGGAGGGTGGGTGAGACCGAACTGATGGTGGCTCTCAACACAGACAGGCAGGATAGGTGAAGCTTGGAAGTTCCCACGCCCTCCTGAAGAATACATTGTTATGCTAAATCTTGGGGTTGTATACCTGAATCTTCAGTACTTGCCTGACATTGCCTTCTTCACTGTTATTTTAAAGAACTACCTTTATGGTCAAAGTGGTACTTTTTCTTTAGTCTCGTTAATCCTCTTTCTCCTGACCTACCCTCCTCTTTTTAACTCCCCCTCCCCTTCTCCTTAATCCTTCCATCTCAGAGGTGAGGTTTCTGGGAGGCAGCCAAGGGGCTGAGAAGGAGCAGAGATGCCATTTGAAATGGCTTTTTTTGATAGTTGGGTAGCAAAAGCTCATTCATGCGTTATTACAGTAAGCTATTTCCCTGGCGCCGAAAGGCCACATTCAGAACCCGCTGCCCCCTGGGCAGCTGGGGGTGGAGGTTGGTAACGGGGTGGGTGCTTTGGCCAAGTCTGTGGCTTCCTGCTTTACAGACTGTATGTGTTCATTTGCCCTACTTTCTGCGCTGGGAGTTTCTGCCAGCGGGTTAATCAGGTGGATGGATGGCCCAGACTTCAGGGTAGAGAAAAGTGGCAAAGCTGGGGAGGAGGACGGGGCGGGGGGATGGGAGTCTGAACAATGGGCAAGTCTTGCGATTTCCCTGAGCCGGAATCTCAACGTCGCTTCTCTAATGGATAGCGCTCTTATACGATTGTAAGTTGGGCTTGGTCTGGAGGTGTCCCTTGTGAGCTTTTTCCTGGGGAAGGTTTTCAGAGATACCCAGAGCTTGCAAGCTTATGAGCAACCACAAGGGCTCCTCGGCCAACCTGGAGTTCGATTCACACCTGGGAGATCTGTGCTTGGGAGATCAGTATTTTGAAAAGATATCTTTGCACAATTCACTGAAATTGCTCTTTGTGGCTTGGGTTTTAGTGCTTTGCCACTGTATTTCTGCCTGCAGGAGGTGTGGAAAGAGGGAGGGATACAGCTTCCAGCTAGCCCAGGAGATGGGGAACTGCTAGCAGGAGGACTTAAGTGCAGATGTGGGGACAGTTGCCTCCCAGAGGTCAGGGGTCTGCGACCAGTCTTGTGGTGGGTGAGTTGTGCAGGCCTGGAGCTGAGTCCAAAGGCCACAGAGGTAATCTCCACAAATCAGAGGGCAGATGATCTTTTTCTTTTTTCCCAGATTAAGAGGGATGGGCTCATGTAGATGAGAGGTCTCATTTGTTCCTAAATCCTCAGGAAAGCCTGCCTGCTGAGAACTTCCTGGGGAATGCCTGACCCCTGAAATGCAGCCAAGGTCAGTGGCATCTAGGAGAATTTACTGCAGCCTTACCAGTCCCTTGCTGTTTTGGTGGCTCTTTACACAATCAATGCCCTTTTTGTAAACTCTGTGCTCAATGCATTAAAAGCAGATCCTGTCTGGAGAGGCCTTTATCCTTTCTCACTTTGGGGGCTTATTGTTCTCAGCCAGTGATCCCAGACTGGACCCAGTCTAAATTTTCCCCAAATAGCAACAATGCATAATTTAAACCAGAGCAACCAGGGAAGCACTGATCGCTTAAATTATGCAAGATTTGGATGGTTTTAAAAAGTAAGAAAAGAGAGGATGGTTAGAAAAGAGGTGATCTGAATCCAGTTTTATTAGTCCTGATTTTTAGAGCTGTGGAGGGAGAGGAATGATTTCATAGATTTAGAGCTGGAAGAGAATTGTAGAACACTTAGCCACTCCTTTCATTTAAACCTGGGAAGCTGTAGCCCAGAGAGGTCAAGTCTATTGCCCAAGGTCACACAGCCCTCTCCCTGCTTGGAGATGGGGTGAGTAAGGGAGGGGAGAAGGGTGGTTTGGGGAGAGGATATAGGTTTCCTGACTTCTCATTCAGTGCTCTAAGTCACATTGTCTGTGGCTAAATCAGATATCAGTAATACATTTTCTGCCTGAGCACATAAAAAATGGCAGAGAGGAATTATTTCACCAGGGTCATGGAATTTTATTTATCAAAAATAGAGAAACTGCTTCATGCAGGTAAGCTCATAAAACATTAAACCATGGAGCTTTAAAGTATCTTTGGAATTCATCTTGTCCAACCCCTTCAATTCCTCCTCTGCAGGCAAATGACTGTCTGAATCATCTAGGACAGATGGTTGTCCTGCATGGTAACCTCTCTCTCCGTAACCCTTTTCCATCTAAACATATCTCAAGGGGTTGGTCTAGACATACACATTATTCAGATGTCTCTCCATGCAAGGTTTATAGAGTTCTATGTATGTTTTCTATAATCTATGTGGATACTTATATTCTACATAGTTTTACGGATATAAACTATCCATGTGGGTGTATGAAATGTGTGTGTACATACATAGGCTATAGAAAACAATCTACTCATTCAGATGCAGGGCTTGAGTCATTCTTCCTTCAAGATATGACAGTATTAAAAGAAATGGAATGTGCCACCAGTATGCTTTATTGCATAGGAGGTGAGGTCAGCCCAGAAAGCTTTTTGGAGATTAGCATACATCTGAATCTGAGCACCGTGGCTGGGCCCACAGAGTAAGGCAATCAAGGCCAAGATTGGCCGCTGCTGACTTCATACTCTTAAGTTTCTGCCAGGACTCACACTCACTTTTCTATTTGAACAGAACTGGATGACCTCTGCTTGTCTTTCTCCCTCTACCCCTCACTCCCTGCTGGGCCTAGATACTTTTTTTCTCCATTGAAACCTAGGTTTAAGAATTGACCTCATCTGAAAGACTTGCATGCATTCTTCCTGCTATGCTTTTTACGTTTGTATTATAAATGGTATGGGGTTTTATTTCTACTTCCTCACTAAACTGTGGGCTCCTTGGGGCCAGAGGCTAGGTCTCGTTCATCTCTGAGTCCATAGTCCCAGTTAGTTGAATAAATGAATGAGTTAATGGAGTGGACTGAGCACTGGGTTCTGTGTCCACGTCTTATTAATTCTGTGACTTTGGATCAGTCCTTTGTCCGTAATTAACTCAAAAATGGGAATGATCACAACTGCTCGCCTTCCTCATACACAGGTTTCAAAAATCAATAAGTATTTATGGCAGTGCTTTGAAAACTGTAAAGCACTACACAGATATGCTATTCCATGATTAAATAGAATTTTATGGGAAACTTGATTCCACCATTTGATCCCAATGATTGTGTGTAACAGAAAATGATCCTGAGAAAAAGATATCAGAAGGTCGTGCATCTTTTTAATAGTACTTTTTCCTTTGAATGTATCAGTATGGCCTTATGTTGACCTTTCATGGTCTCTGTCTGACCCTCTGATGGCCTGGGTTGACCTTTGCTCGAGGTGAGTTCAGCCCAGAAACTTTTTGGAGATTAGCATATTTCTAAACCAGTATCAAGTATCAGCATTATTCATTAAAAACTTTTTCTTTTCTTTTTTTTAAGACTTTTTCTCCTCTTTATGGATTAACCATTATGCAAATAAAAACACATATATTGTGCCTGTGCCTTTTCAAAGTTTGTGTGTGTGTGAGGTGGGACAGGGAGTGGATGCCTGAAATGATACACTACTAGTCCAGTATTTAAAACCTTCTGGTCAGAGGTCTCATGGGCTTCAAGAAATCTTGAAACATTAGTAATTCATTACCCCAGAGCAATTAATTAAATTTGGTCTTAAATGAGAATTTAGTAACGTTGCATGAACTGCTAAGATAACGGTATCTTAAAATGATAATAGCATAAGTTTTTAAATTAGATACATGTGCTGTTTTTTAGAGATATTAAACAGGTGTTTTC